TATATATATATATATATATATATATATTTATATACATACATACATACATATTTATATATAGTAAGTCTGTGTATTGATTTTTCCATTTTACAGTGCTCGATACATCGGAGTAGAGCGCGATATAGGTTGCGATAGGGGAAAGAAACAGAGAGACTATAACTTTATCCTTAAAAGCCTCTTTCGTGATTGCTCAGTCATCGGGGATTCTATTGTTAAGAATATTCGTACCACCGTTTATATCCTTTACAAATTTGCATAATAGGCGTGTCATTTAATTTCGATGCTTAGTTCAATTGTTACGCAGTAACGCATTGTTTCTGTGGCGGCATGAGGACACGAGTTCATCACGTTCATTAAGAGATGATAATTCAGGTCGACGGATGATGAGTAATTTTTCTTTGAGGTAGAGGTTGCATCTTTTACTTGCGCTGTTGTAGGGTGATCTTGATGAGAGGATGCGCCATGAAATAAAGTGTGTATGTTATTTCCTTTAAGGGTCCAGACATGTTTGCTGAGTTCGGTAGAGTTTCTGTGTTTTGTGTGTCGGAATGATGCGGCGTGATTTCTCTATCTAGTCATGTGTTCTTCTGTCGGCAGTTGCAAGTTTTGGTGTCTTATATGTTGGTGTTATCTGCGGTAACGCCGACACGCCTATTATGCAAATTTGTAAAGTACATAAACGATATTACGAATATTCTTAAAAATAAAATCCCCTGATGGGTGAGCAATCACGAAAGAGGCTTTTAGGGATAAATGTATGGTAAATTGGGACAGTAAACATATGATCTTGATGTTCAAAGGTAATTTGAATTCCACCAAAAAGTACGAAATAATTTGGGCTGGTTTATTACCGTAAAGATAAGAACATCGGGTCTTTCTTTGAATCGCTTTTGAGATGGGGAGACATAGTGGCCCGAAGAAATTCCATTACCTGTGCAATTTTGTCCATCCCCGCTGAATCCAGGTTTACAAACGCACTCGAAAGATCCCTCCGAACTTATACAAGTGGCATTATTATTGCTACAGTTGCAGGTAATTTTGGCATATTCTTCGATGTCTGAAGTAAAGAAAAAATTAGAGATATCTCGTCATTTCTTCAAATGCCGTTGTCCTTGTTATATTTGTAGGTATTTCCAGCATATTCGAGGATGGAGGGAAGGAGCGATTCGGGGGAGGCAGGCTTTCATATATATTATAAAAAGTACAACATTGCGAGCTCATTCGTCTTTGATGGTATTGGAAAATTGAAATCAGGAATCTGGGGTCCGTCTCCTACCATAGATGATGAGAATTTCAGATACCCCGCCTTTGTTAGTTTCTCCTGATATGCTGAACCATCATGCTATAGACTAATTTAACCATATTTCTCAACCTTCACTGACATCATTCAATCGTACATGAACATTCGACTGCCGCTGAGGAGCTTCAAGGGAGCAGATACAGGTAACGAGGAACTTAATTTTTTAAATGAGACAAGCTGTGTAAGATCTCACCTTGGCAGATGTGTCCATCTCCAGTAAATCCGGGATTACAAGAACAGTTGTATGATCCCACGACGTTTGTACAATTGCCATTCTTCTTGCTACAGTTGTGTGTATCGTTAGCACATTCATCAATGTCTGAAATGCAATCGACAGAGCATACTTATGGCCATGATCACGAATACTAAAGCTAAAGGGAAAAAGGGTGCGCGAGATCTCCAGTATATAAGAATCATGCTCTGACTGATATCGGCTTACCATACACATTAACTCTGTTTTGGCCAGTTTTGTGTCTTTCGCGCTCACACGACAAGGCATCATGCTCTGAAATCTGTTCAGTACCTGTGCAATTGTGTCCATCACCGCTGAATTCTGGTTTATAAATGCACCTGAACGATCCCCTGGTATTTTTTTTTTACAAGTGACAGTTATATTGCTGCAGAGGTGGCTATTTCGAGCACACTCGTCAATGTCCGAAAATTTAATAAGCCGTCCGTATCAATTATATTGATAAAATATAACAATGAAAAGGGTATGAATACTGGGCTTCAAATCTGAAAACCACAGGGTGCTCTTAAGGAAAAAAAACTTAACGCCACTCCACATGAAGGGTGGCTCAAACTATTTCTGACCACATAGGACAGAGCCGTAAAACGTACTTCTCTGAAAAGAGGCTATATCACGTTATCAGTAAATGAGTTTGCAAACGAAAACCTAATTTTTTTTTTATCTCGAGTAGTATTGTCTATATCCTTAAGGGGCGTAATCAGTTAAGTAGAGAGGAATACACACGGAATTTTATCAACCTAGAAAGGTCATGCTCTGCCGCACTATACCTACGCATTCATGTCCATCTCCGCTGAATCCAGAATTACAAGAGCAGGTGTAAGATCCCGCGGTATTTGTACAATTGGCATTCTCGCTACACTTGTGGGAATTCAGAGCACACTCATCGATGTCTGAAATAAAATCAACGAATTTTATCTATGATCGTCATCACCACTACCAAGCTAATGTGCAAAGCAAAACTAACTTATATGTTATAATCGGAGTAGATTATGAATAGGATTGAAAAACATGTGTTTTTACTAGAGGTTAATTCGGACGAGCAATCCCGCTCTAAGCAATTTTCATTACCTATGCAATTGTGTATATCCCCGCTGAATCCATGTTTACAAATGCACTTGAATGATCCTTCGGTATTTAAGCAAATGACGTTTTCATTGCTGCAGATGTGGGTATTTGTTTCACACTCGTTGATGTCTAAAATATAATTGATAGACCTCTGGTAAAGACGCTGAAGAACAGAAGTTGAGGGAAGGAGGGGAAGGGGGAGATATTCTGTGTTATGCTATTTGTCAGCAGTGGCGATTGAAAAAGCGAGTGAGAAATAAAATGCGGGATTACGGAGAAAAATCTTCTTCGCCCCACTTTTTACGGTGCTGAATGCCAATGACAGCCTGGCGTGAGACTGAAACTCGAAAGAGGCGGGATGGTGTTTGAAATGAAAAAGGAATTCAACACTTAAGGGGGTGGTTTGAGTTCTTTGCTATTCATCTCAAACAAAAAGCAAAACCAACTTAGGTGTTATAATCGGAGCACATTATGATTGTAAAAGGTGCATTTTTACACTGTGTTAAAATAAAAATTAAGAAAACAATTCATTTTTATTATTTTAAGTGTTACCTTTTTGACAATCGTGGCCAGTAAATCCAGACGCACATAGACATCGATATCGTTTTCTTGTAAATCCCGACTGGCAGGTGCCGTCGTTCTCGCATGGAGATTGAGCGCAGAAATTCTTCAACAAAAACAAAAAACAAACAAACAAAAAATAGAAACGGAGAAGAACTTGTCACGAGCGTTAAAAGAAAAATTCTGCTTTAGACATATTGTATAATTTCGAAAGTTAAATATACCACATTTGTAGTATGAGGCGACAAGAAGAATTGCCACTCCCCTGGACGGGATGTCGCAAGTAACTGTTTAAAATCTTGATAGTTGTTCTCGACATTTCGCCGAGAACCTGACCAAAACTTGCCGGAGAAAGAAATTCCAAAATTCTGTGTAAGATCACTCCCATCACTCTGAAAAATCAGGAAGGGGCGTCTGTAGACAATTTACTCTATAATAAGCTATTATAGAGAAAATTGTCTTTCTTAAAAGCAGCACTCGGTAACCCCGTTCATAGCTCAACTGTGTCGTTATATCCATAGTCGTATGTACTCTTCATTTAACCTAGTATATTCATGCTTGAAAACCAATTGAATTCAACTACCTTTTGCAGAAATGCATTCGAGAGGCCATTCCATTTATTCTTGCCCATGAAAAATATTTAAGATGAATGAACATGAGTGTTTCGTAGTGGTGTTCTTTATTGCAAGAAAAACAGGGATCAGTTGTTTATTCTAGGCCGGTGACCAACGTTCTGAAGTGACTAAGAAAAATTACTTGCTTTCGTTAATAGAGATGAGTTTCCTCAAGGCACTCAAAGGACTTTTGTTTTTTGTTAGTGCTTATCTACAAAAGATTCGTAGCGACATCAGCATTTGTCGAAAATTTATGTAAAAATAACTAATAATGGATAAGAGGCGTTTGACAGACATGAATATAAAGGGAACCCCTTTAGCTCTGATGAATTAAAAAAAAAGAGAGAGTTGCGCAATTGACATTTACCTTAGTTCCGTGGTATACATAGTCCGCCGCTTTTACAAGATTCTTTTCATACTCGTTACCCGTTGAGTTATTCAGTTCACAGTTGTGTGCTTTTGCTCCTTTTTCTCCAAAATAAAAGTTAACACTGACGCAGTTGTAGTCCAAGTAGCAACGATATTCACACGTGTCCCTGTCAATCACACTGATGTTTGCTATGGTATGGTTAACAAGACGTTCTCCAACGAAGAACAAAGTGGATGGAAATGCCAGTATACGGCATTGATCTAAAAATTAAATCATTAAGTGTTAAAGAGCGAAATGGGTCATCAATTCTGAGGGTCTCACATGTCGTTAATCTCGCTGTTCGATGCACTTGGTACGTATATCGATAATTATGACATATTCACTGAGTTAACAGGGATCAAGTTGAATTAACAGTAGTATCGCATGTTTTTTTCAAGCCCTGAATCATGAACTTCCAACTGACTTTTGTACATTATAACAAAGCGCGCGTTTGCAAATCTTTCCAAACTCCGAATGAGCCAATTTGAGCTCTGTCAATCCACGAAAATACCGTTGAAGTCAACAGTTTTTTCCAAACTAGCGCTTTACGAGTTATAGCTTTGAAGAAGGAAACTAATCTTTTTGACTTGAGATGAGGCTTTGCGAATTTGAAAACTCTTCTTTGGAACGGTAAGTATTACTTGAGTTGATAAGTCCCAAAAGTGTTGTTGAATTGAAGATTTGGTTTCAAAATCCTACAGTTTTCAGATGTTTTTCAATTTTTTGACACGAAGCCTCACATTCTGGCCTTGAATTCAACTAAACGATTCCAGATTACTGAACGATTACGTGGGTCTCGTAAATGCAGGCAATTCGTTCGTTTTCCGTTTCGAATTCGTCGCAGCAAACTAAGCACTTCTTTGAATTAAGCTTTGGTCTCTAAATATTTATTGATCGTTTTGCCTTGCCCTTTATTGATAGTTTTCGGGTAGAAAGTTATTACCAGGTAAACCCGATTCAATTTTAATAGAAATTTATCTTCGTACACAAGTTATATCCACTATGTTAGAAAAAATTTTTTTGTGCTCTTAGCGAGTAAATATGATATGGATCCACACAGGAAGTTTAGAGAGCACTCACGAAGCCAAAAATGCTCTTGGCTTCACCTCGTGCAACTCACTTCATTTGCGCTCTGCAAACTTCATTCGTACATCTATATTCTCGATATGCACACGCTGAGCAAAATCATGCTTAATTTGACCTTGCGATCTTTATTTTGTTTTGTCCTGTTTTGTTTCTCCATCATCCATATCAATTAAACTTGTGTTAAATAAAACATGTACATTTTGAACAGATATTGAAAAAAAACCTATTAAACCGCTATTGAAGTTTAAGATCTTTCCTTCGCTTCATTGTGCATCGATTTTAATTATATTATGAAAATGTCCTAATCAAGAGTTGTTAATTGATATCACTATGGGAATGGTTACACATCCATAACCTCTATATGTTAGCCACCTGTCAAGTGAGAAGTTTTACTGCACCCGCTTATTCGCCGTCAGTACTCCGTTTGCATTATGAAAACTTATCTGCTTTCCCTGCATTTAGACAATTTTCTTTCTGTTTTTATTGGCTATGAAAAACTTACTCATCAGGCTTCAGACATCACACAATACAAAACACCGCAGGAGTGTTATAACGAGGAAAATATGCATCGAATTCCGAGTTCTAAAAGTTACAAGAAAAACGTCTTGGTCTATGTTTAACACCTGCCTGCATTATATTTTCAAGGTGGAAAATTTTTCTATAAAAGTTGTCTTGAATAAAAAAATTATGTCAAAAAAGTATGACACCGGCGAACGATTATGTTCTCAAAGGAATATTTTTATTCCACAAGAGAATGTAAATATAGGGGGATGAAAAACATTTCCTTTCCATCTAGTTAAGACATCAATTTGTCTTTCCTTGAGTGTACGGCTTTTCATAACCATAAAATCTTTTTTTTCGAAAATCTTTTCATTAATTTCAATTTTAGTTTATTTTTGTATGAGAGTTTCGAAAGAATTCAAGACCATAAGCAGCGAAAAATATAATTAGTTAAGAAATAGCGAAGACTGTTCGGTCATAACTAAAAAAACTATGCAAACATATGTTCGAACAAAGTGAAAAAGAATCGAGAATATTTTTGAGTGAATAAAAGACAACAACGCATTGAACTGGACTATGAATTTTGTAGCCATTTTGTTAGTTCGGCCTCTGCATGTATATACGAGAATTCATGTATTTCAGTCCTTAAGAATTCGTGTTTCCCTTTGTAAAATAGTATATTAGATAGCTGAAAATTTTAGAGGAGAAAAATAGAAGTTTCATATCAACAAATGCAAGATTTAAAACTTACCATCTGTGCAAGATAGAACTTGTCCGAGGGGGAGAGCCACAGAGATGAAGAACAAGTGGAGACAAACTCCCATGTCCTTTAGAGCAAGCTCAAAAAAAAGTACTTCGATGTTTTGTAACTGTTGAGCAAATAGAGAAGCTTAACAAACGTTTGTTGATTGTGATGTACCACCAATTTGATGCTAGACTTTCTAGAAACATATTAGCCAATCACATGTGGATCTATGAGAGATGTCTTACAGCTCCACACAGAGATGCTAGATAATTTTGTTAGTTTTGTCCTCAGGCAGTTATTTCTATCTTTCACTCGCTATTCTAAGGGACCTTTCTTCTAGACAGGCAGCATCAAAAGAAAATAAAATATTACTTATACTCTGTAAAAATGCAAGCACACAAAAAAAGCCCACAAAACTTTTTAAAAATATTTCCCTTGCTAACTCTGCGGTATTCTGACCAAATTTCCTTGGAGATTTTAGAGCACATTTTAAGAAAACATAGCTTCACTGAGGCAAACTTCGTTGTTATGTGCCGCTCTCGCTAAGAGCGGTCCTCTCGACATCCTGTGGGAAAAAAGTTTTCCTTTATTTTTTAGCTACATAGTCCGTGTGGACAGCAATCGAGCGCGCTGCGACTACAATAATATAGCTCACGGAATTTTCTCTAGCTACAATATACAAGATTTATTCCCTCAGAGTACATATGAAATATGGAAATTTCACATGAAATATTATTCATACCAGCGTGATCAGAGGAGACCCATCTGTTCGAACATAATTTGCATACCAAAAATTCACCGATGTATAAGAAATAATTCTCAAAATGTTGGGCTAAATCGGGCTAAAAAAGCATATCGGTGGAAAGTTTAGACACCAATTAGGTCAGTGATAGCCTCAAGCCTGCGATTATCTCTCTTGCTTTCATCTACCAACATCCTAAAAACAACGCAAGTCAATGTGTTTCCTCCCTTGCGCTACTGTCAGAGGTCATTTGCATAATTCTGAAAATCAACCAAGACATCCTTTTGACCGTTCAAACTTCTTTTGTTTACCTTCTACATATAGGGCTTAGAGCTTTGCTAACAACTGGAAGGAAAAAAAGATCCTGAGTTGTCGTGAATCTTTGCATAAACTTTATTAGCGAAAACGCTTGAATGACTCAATACGTAGACGGTCGATAATTTTCTTTGAATTAGGTTACAAACCAAACACAACGAGGAGAAGTTCAAAATTAGCGAATAAAATTTGGCATTCTCGTCATTACATAGATAATGCGTAGATAAGAAGGACACACAAATACGGTAAAATAAGTTACCGTTTGTTTTAGAAAACAACACGTATCACTCTGCAAGATTAATCGATTTAAACTTTAACTAGAAATCTCCAAAGATATATATATATAATTGGTATAAATCATTCATTCAAACAGTTCTTTGGAAAGCTTTCTGAGGGGCCCAAAGCTGTTAAATTTGGAAGTGATTTTGATGTTTCGCATCTCTGAGGTGATTAGGTTTGAAGTCTGAATCAAAATGAAAACAAGAACTAGACTGGAAGCTAGATCAACTGCCCCAATTATTACTATGACTACTGCTATACAAAGAATATGTAAAAGAAAACCGAATATGAAAGTCAAATAATATTTTGAACTCAGCCCAGCCATTCATTAATTTGCACAGCGCCGTTATCACATATGTTCCCACCAGATAAACTTGAACAGCCTTCCCCACTGCAATACGAGCCTCCTCCTCCATCTCCGACTTGCTGATTATGAGTACCACTGACTCCCCCAGAGTATCCACCACCTCCACCTGATGCCCCAATATCTTCTGAACCACCTCCCCCACCACCAAACCCATCAACCGCTCCTGGTGTAGGGCCCCCGTTATTACCGCAATCCATATCTACGGCTTGACCTACGATTCAGCACTGAGCACGTGATCCACCTCTTTCCGCATAGGAGGAGCATAGTCGGGAACAACCTTGATCAAACTAACACGCAACCGCTCCTCCATGATAACTAGCGCCCTCACTATTGCATTCACCTAGCTGCCCATCTGTACCTTCATTTCGAACTTGTGACGAATCTTTCCCCTCACTACTGGTGATCCCATTTAACCGTCCACACCATCCACTCGACGCACCCCCTCCTCCTCCAGCATCCAGCAACAGAACATGATCTGTAGTATAAACAAAACTTCCTCCCCCTCCTCCAGTGCCAGCATTGTCCTCCACAGATTTTCCAAGCTGAGCTGCAGGCTGGCTTGTGCTTTGTCCGCCTTCAACATCCACCGAATCTCCTCCTCTTTGTTCCAACACGTTATTTAGCACAGTTCCGTTATTCAGTGCGAACTTCCCTCCTTTGAATGCTCCTTTTCCACCACAATATGTTCCTGGAAGGTATTCAAAATTGTATAAATGTGTTCTCCTCCCCCCCCCCCCCCCCCCCCGAGCTCCCCAGCTTTGATGAGATAGCGGATGGTCCGTGGAACAACAAATGTCTGTATTTTGCCGAAGGGTTCTCTTCTTCCATGGGCTCCAAATCTAACAAAAGAAGTAAAAATGAGTCAAAAGTCAATATATGACATGTCAAATACTTGGCTCTCGTACATAAATTGTAAATATGAGAAATATGAGTAAATTTTTACCCATTGCAATGCGTTCAGTAGTTTTAGGATCACGATGAGTAGCCGTGTATGCATGTAAAGAACTCAAGCGTAACAATCTGTCATGAGATTCAAATCCATTCAACGATACAAATAGAGCCTTTACGATTGTTGAACTGTGCATGTAATTCCATTTCCAGTAAAACCAGTTTTACAGAAACAGCGATGAGAGCCGAAAGTGTTCCGGCATTCGGCATTGACGTTACTGCACATCCTAATAGAAGCTCTGCACTAGTCAAAATCTTGGAGAGTAATGATAGTAATAAAAATAATGATAATGATAGTAACACTGATAAAACTGAGATAAAAAAGGACTTAGATCGAGGATATTTTAAGAAATCATTAATTGTACCTTACCTACTGACCCGATCGCTCTTAAAAATGCTAAAATGGCCAAAAGTTTACGATAATGATAACAATAGTGGCAACGAAGATGATGGTGCCTGCAATGAAAGGTGTTTTGTTTGGACTATGTACTCCTACCACGATGCAGTTGATTAAATCCTAAATAATGATCAAAACGAATGAAAACGGAGCAATAACTCTTAATTTTTTGTGTCGTAAAAATTCTAAATGCCATTCGGTTATGTAAGTGAACTAAAAGTTTTCTTAGATTGCAACGATATTTTGCATGAAAAAATGAATGGTTTGGACCTAGAAAAAAATCAATCTTGCTGCTCTTTGGTTAAAGTTTTCATAGCTAAAATTCAAAGTTTCAGCCAAGTGGAAAACGTTCCAACACTTCCTGCGGGGAACAGATTCCTAGTATTCTTGGAACTCTTGAGAATTCTTAAGAATAAAAATTCTTAATAACAAACTTTGCAGTAGGCTTCGGGTATTTTGCTTGGAATTTACAGGCAGACTTGAAATTCCAGTAATTTCAACCCAAACTATGTCTTAGCTCTCATACAGGCCCATAATTCTGGTTTTTTAATGTAAGCTTCATAACTTACCTCGGCCCAAATAACACCTCTAAGTGCCAGAAATAAAATTTGTGGGACTGTTTTCCCGGGTACCACTATTCAATTCACATATGTTCCGGAAAAAGTTTGCAGGCCTGCCAACTCCCACTGGGGGAGATAGCCAGCACCTGCACCAAACAATGTCGGAAGTTGCAGATTACTTTTAGAATTGTTTAATAATGCCGAATAGGGAGACCAGTTATCCATTTTTATTTTGTCTATAGCAGTTGATTGGTTGTGTGACAGATGCATGTCTGCGAAATAATTGAGAGTTTAAGCGCCGGCCGGGGAGCATATAAATCCTCTTTTGGCTTCGAATAATCTTGAAATGGTGGCAAGATTATCAGGGCATTACATAAAAGTAATTATCTGCTAGAACCTTACACTTATTGCTTTTTTACCTAATTATTGAGTGGAAATTCGTCATAGCGAATATTTGCTTTCGAATCTGTAGTTGGATTATGATGTTAAGGAAAAATTAAAGCGAATTTGTAAAAAGGAAATCAAATTAAACAAAAACAAACACGAAATACAAACAAAACAAAAGAGTTAGAAGCCACACTCCCTTAATTGGCTCAGTGTCATATATATTGTTTGTATATGTGATGCCCATAAAGACTTCCAATTCGGAACAATCGAGGTTCACATCGGTTGTAACATTTTGAATTTCCTTATATTATCGGCAAATAATAATACTAAAAATAATATACAATCTTCCAACTCGGTTAAGGGCTATATACAACCCATTTATAATTTTGATGAGAAGCAGGTTTGAATATAGTTTTTGGGGCTCATGACTCAACGTTGAATGGATTTGCGTAACATTTCCTGTTTGTGGGTGATGAAATCCCGGGGTTTTGACTCAATTAATTCAAAAGAAAATATTCAAGCAGGTTACAGAAATGGTTTGCGAATTGTGAATTGATAATGCGTTGACTAAACTTCCCGAAATTATGGTGCCGATACGAATTTATCGCTCATTATCACTGATGAAATTCCAAGATTGTAACTCAATGAATTCAACAAAAAAATACAGGAAGGTTATGAAAACGGACTCTTGAATTCGAAAACTGTAAACAACAATTATTTACGCTAACCATGCGCTTACCAGCGTGCTTGTGGGCTCAAGTTGGCCCGTAATTTAATTAGCAGATGATTGACTGGTTCTCACATAACAATATTGTCAAAATCAAGTTGCCGCGTCAGACTTAATGTAAACTTGAACATCGCTGACTCAATCTCATTATATTTCAATTTTGGTAAAGGCCACTACTTCGTTCTTAGGGTAGAACAATGCATCTCGGACAAAGCGCAATTTTTTTAAAACGAAGAGAGTAAATCCTACGATAGTTAAATGAAGAGAGAAAGAAGTAGAAATTTGCTCAAGCTTTCAAGGCAAAACAAAATCCGTAAAATATATTTTTTTTCTCTCAACACCACGAATGTGTTAACA